CATCACGGATACAAAGGTAGGAAACGGGTACTACTCAGCTAGGCATTTGTAGTACTGTCGCTGCTTACCCCGGGTAGGTATTACTGGCACTATATATAGTGAGAACCGGTGTAATTCCCTTGTGTTAGAGGCCGGTGCAACAGAAGGAAACTAGAGAAGATTAATTTTCAAACAGGAAAAGAAAGGAACATGAGATCAAGAGGAAAAGGCACAAACAACAAAGCAAAATTGTTTACTTAAAATTCCGATAAGCATTCGAAGATAAAGGACTCAGGTTTATTCACCAACCACAGCGATATACGATAAGAAATGGCTCGCCTCGACATCCTATCCTAACTTCATTAAACAGCGTCTCTCTCTTCTAAACTCCCTCTCTCGAAACAAATGCATATATATATATATATATATATATATATATATATATATATATATATATATATATATATATGACCGACCACGACTACTTGATCCATGCGCATTCACGTAATCATCAGGCGATCGTGTTTTTTTTTTTTTTTTTTTTTTTTTTGCCGGTGTGCAACTTTGAGCAGACCCATTTTGGCAGTGCTTAACCTTTTCTCTGATTATATATATATATATATATATATATATATATATATATATATATATATATATATATATATATATATACAGTAGCGAGTATAAAGATCAGAACGATGTTAAGAAAAAAGTCTAAATATGAAATAACTTTTTATCTGAAAGCTATTTTAAATAATTATTAAACTTCCATGGATTTATTTAATGGTTCTGATGTTTTTGATCGTCTGTATTTTCGAATGTCATATAATTATTCTTATAAATGTATCAAAATAAGTTTATTTCGCTTTATATTTTTTGAATTATATAATTTACCTTTATATCCTTATTTTTCCTTGATAAAATGTTCTTTGAAGCTTTAAAATAAAAAAGTTATTTCACATTTAGACTTTTTCTTACCATCGTTCTGATCTTTATGGTCGCTACTATATATATATATATATATATATATATATATATATATATATATATATATATATATATATATATATAATTCCGGGACTTAAATTATGAAGACTATCCACAACATTCTGTCAATGTATGCAAATTTGTCAAGAAGTTTTTTGCGCGCTGTTTTCCCGCGCTCTCTTGATTTCCTCTCTATGTGTTTTCTTCTCAAAGCTTTCGTTACTCATAAAGAAATCCAAACAATTCACTTGTCTCTTTCTGATTGACACCAGCAGTTCCTTTGTAGTTCCTCGTGTGAAAACTTGCTTCTTTCCACACGCATCGTCTGTTCATTGTATTTTTCAACATTCGTCAGTAGAAGAATATTTCTGCCGCATCAGGTCTCTCCTTCATCTATGGAGTAGCGGGGGGGTACTGCCCATATAGGAAACCAAATATTACGTAGGATTCAATCATTTTTTTTTCTTTGCTTCTAAAGATATTATCGATCTCTTAATACGTTGTTCAGTTTCTAAAATCAGTATCCTTCACTCTGGCAATATGTCGTCGGATTTCAATTGGCTTTTACTATTCTACTCAGGTATTAAAATTTCCTAACCTGTTTGATTTTGATCTCCTTGTGGTGCCACTCACAATTTGGCCGTTTTCATGAAAACTCTACATTCTGTCTTCTTACAATAAATGTTTATTTCTTTTTTTTTTTTATCTTTCCTTCATCGACAATCATTTCTAATATTTCTTTAAGTTTTTTTCTGGATTCTCCCTCAATACAATCTCATCTGTACGCTTTTATGATTATGTCAATAATTTTATGTCGATAATAAAGCCAGGTTGATCCCCACGTTCTCTTAGAGTTATGTCACTGTCCAGGTTAAACAAATCCAATGTGATGGGACATCCTTGCTGTATTCTGCCTTCTATTATCGTGTTAAACATATTAACCCGTTCTCTAAACGCATACAGGCTGTTTTACCCCAGTACAGGTTGAGGCTAATTAGAATATCATTACCATGTAGACCAAGCTTTCCTAATGCTTCAAGTTCTTAGCATCGTACTTTATCGAATGCCTTTGAGCAATCTCTGAAACATATGTACTTTTAGGTGCCTCTAAAATAGGGTCTTAATCGTATTTTAAAACATAATAAACAGGGTTCTTAAAAAAAGGAGGAACAAAAAATGATTTAAAGTGTCTAAATGAGCGACATTAATAAACGGGATGCTCGGAAAGGTCGGAAAATATATATATCCATTCTTCTATTAGGCATCTTATAGCTTTTTGCTGCACTTCCCTCATTCGATTAGAGGGCATTCTTACCATGAATCTGTTGTCTTCAGCAAAGTCTTCTTTCTCATAACCTGTCTTCCTGATTTAGTTTTGCTACGATGTTTGTAAACTCGAATCGGAATGATTAGTTTTGCTTTGTGGGTCACTAAACTGATTGTTCAATGAAGTTTGCCTTCATTTACACCTGACTTTTTTGCCAGTTAAAGTAACTTTCTGAATACCTCTGTCAAGTAACTAGAATGGATTTCCGGTTTTAATAGCTGTGTGAGCAAGCAGGTTTAATTGTTTACTAAAAATAAAATGAAATATCACATCTTTCCAACCAAATATGTTAGCTCTATCTCTGATATTGAGCGCTTTCTAATAAGTACCGCGAATATAATATATAATTAATTATATATATATATATTTATTTATATTTATATACACACACACACACACACACACACATATATATATATATATATATATATATATATATATGTGTGTGTGTGTGTGTGTGTGTGTGTGTGTGTGTGTGTGTGTGTGTGAAAATATATAGAAAATAGGAAGGAACTGGTTAGGTAAATAGTCCAAAGTTCCTTAGTATTTTTGTTATTATTTTAAACAAAAATAGTGCTCGATACAAAAGTAGAGCATAAATATAATTATTTATTTAAAAATATGATTCCAAATCGCTACATAAGAGTCTCATGTTTCAAAACAAGGCCGCAAACTACAATATAATCCTTTAAATTAAATTGAGTTGAAATTAAAAAGGGCTCCGTTCCATCTTCAAGCGAATTTTTTTGTTGGAATTTTTGTTCCAACAAAAATTCGCTTGAAGATGGAACGGAGCCCTTTTTAATTTCAACTCAATTTAATTTAAAGGATTATATTGTAGTTTGCGGCTCTTTTTGAAACATGATTTTTTAAATAAATAATTATATTTGAATATATTTTAAATAAATAATTATATATATATATATATAATTAGGAGAGCAGCCGATACCGCTACCTTGGTTTCAACTTTTCATTATCTTCAGGCGACTTCAGTCAATTGATTTCCTAATGCTTTGTTTGTTTGTTTTTTGTTAATAAAAATTATTAACGCCATATTGAAAAATAAATAAATGAATGAATAAGCGCACAGCTGAGGTTTGGTAGAAGGTGAGGAGGAAGAAGGAAAATAAAGTGTATTGGAAATATATCTGTCTATATTTCTGAGATGAGGTATTATGTACACTATTTACATTATTCGGACTATTGTCCGCATCTTTGTCGCCATATTTATTACAACGTTTCGGCAGTTGTACGCTCTGGACTTCTTCAGGTGGTTGGAATGTCGAACTGAACCCTTTATTTCGCTCACTGAGGTAGACTGTTTTAGTTCCACGTGCCATGTTTAACAGGTGTCAGTTATCTCCTGTAAATTCCTCTCCACTGCCTTAACCTTAAATTTGGGTCTAACCATCTACTGAACTCACACTCTTTGGATCTAACCAACGCCTTTATCCACAGTGGATAAAGGGGTTGGTTAGATCCAGTGACAGGACTCAAAGAGTGTGAGTTCAATACCCGGTTAAGGCAGTGGAGAACTTGGCGAAGGCAATTAACAGGAGATAACTGATAACTGAAATCCATTAAACATGGCACGTGGAACTAAAACAGTCTACCCCAGTGAGCGAAATAAAGGGTTCAGTTCGACATTCCATCCACCTGAAGAAGCCCGGGGTGTACAACGGCCGAAACGTTGTAATAAATATGGCGACAAAGTTGAGGACAATAATCCGAATAATGGAAATAATGGAAATGTATCAGTGGGAGATTAAATGAAATATACTTAATTTTTCGTTACCATTTCATATGAACTCAAAAGGAACTTTTTTTTTATATATATATATATATATATATATATATATATATATATACTATATTATATATTTTCAATCTCAGATTCAAAAGGTTTGTTTTTTTCAGGAGATGTTATTATATCTAATTTTTCTTGTTGAGAAAAAGTTGAAGGTGTTGCTATGAATAACAACATCTTCAACATTTCTCAACAAGAAAAATCACTTACCGTACTGGGTATAACCAAGAACTCACCACCATCGGTTAATGACAAGGAACAACGTTGCTTAACTTCAGTTTCTGTCTGAATTTCTGGAATGAGGAATTATCATTACTTAAACTATTTATATTTGGACTATTACCCTAATTTTTTTCTCGTTGTTATCGCAACGTTTCGACCGTTGTGTCGCCCGGTCTTCATCAGATGTATACTGATCTGGGTAACCTAGAGGGAATTCAGGGTTTAACTAAAATTGTTAATTTATTCCAACAAGTTATTTATTTAATTTAACTCAAAGGAGTCCTTTCTTTACATCGTTAGTTTTATAGGCAGTTTTGTTTCTACACACTACACACATTCCAAGTAACGGGAAGAAAATGATTACGTTTCAATACAGTGTCTTCTCCATGTCAATAAGAGAAAGAAAAGCTGAACTTTTCTTCAGGAAGGTCAATATTATCGTTACAAAAAGTCAAGATCACTGATACGCCGACCTATATATAACCAGTCCGCCCTAAAAGAAGAAAAATAGATTATTTATATCTAGACACAAATAGCATTCTATTGAAGAGTCATATTCAGCAATCTTACCTCGCAAGCCATCATTCGTGAGTATTATCCACACCGGGTTTCCTTATATATTTGTCCAGTTGACGGCTGGTCTAGGTTGAATAACAATATGAAGCTTCTTAAAGCGGCTTACGGCCATATCACGTTGAAACACCGATAGCCGTACGATCATAGAAGTTAAGCAACGTCGAGACTAGTCAGTACCCAGATGGCTGAGCGTTTTGGAATACCAGGTGCTGTGATATGCGGGTCGTGTCATTGATAATGATTTGGAATTTTTAACCGGAGAACAGAGTTCCAATTCCCGTTGGGTTCATTATATTCATTTATTTGTACTTACCCTTGCGAAAGATATGAATTCATCTCTTCTTCCTTAACTATGTGTTCATTAGTAAGACTTATATCATTAAACTATTATTATCTGCAAAAAAAAATATTACAATCTAAAAATATTTCCTGGCATTAAATAACCTGCAGATTTGATAAGCCGTAGAAAACCATCAGTCCTTCTACTAAGCGAAAGTTAGCGTACTTCTTATTATTATTTTCTTCTTCTTCTTCTTCTTCTTCTTCTTCTTCTTCTTCTTCTTCTTCTTCTTCTTCTTCTTCTTCTTCTTCTTCTCTCATTTGTGTGTGTGTGCTCGCGTCGTGCGTCTTCAGGGCGTGAGTGACCATGCCTCTCCTCAGCTTCCTGGCACTTATATGTCTTAACATCTTTTGTCCTCTTGTTATTTTTCCCAGTCTGCAGAGTCCCTACTCTGTCATCATGATCTTATCATTTTTTTTTTGGTCACTGTACCCTGGGATAAAAAAAAAAAAAAACCTCTTCCGAAAGACTTATTGTATAATCGTAGTAACGACAGAGTCCAAATTCTTATCCGCATCCTTGTGGATGATAAATTATTTTCCACCCTTTCTCACGGATGAAACGTTGCAAATCTCTCTCTGCTCTATTGCCGTTTCCATGTAAAGTGTACAGACAAACTACATTCCTTCATTCCAAAAGTTCTAACCTAAGACCCGTCATGCCACACACATTGTAGCGAACCAGATTCATTGCATTCTCATTCCATTCATGAAATGTAAGTTTCACTCGCGCAGCTTCTTCCCACAAATCACTGATCTGCGTAATCTACTCCCAAGTGGATGCTTCATTTATCACTACAATCTTAACCTGCCCAAGTCTAAGGAGAACCGTTATCTTCGCCACATATCCAAATAAACTCGTTAACACTCTACCTCGGGTTTCTCTTGGGACTTGTACAGAGTGAACATCATTGCGTAATAAAACAAAATCTCAGAAATGCAAATATAAGTTACAATATTCCTAAGCAGTATTAATATAATATGTGAACGAATTCCTGTGTTTCATTTATGGAATATAGCATCTTTTCCCCATAATTTCTAAATCTGATTGATTACGACGAAGAGTCAAATGGAATAGAAAGTCTGTGTCGCGCTTCATCTTCGACTTGAAAAGACCTACCAATTTTTAAAAACAGATTTCAGAATATTTTGACTGGTTTCATGAACAGAATTCTGTCACCAGTAGGCAATAGGCACTGATCTTATCAATGATGCAGGCTCTTTGTAAGCTTAGTTCTTGTGAGTGCACGCTTTTCCATTCATATTTTTCTTTTTGTTAACGTTTGAAATTATTTATGTTTATATTTGATACAGATTTCAACAACGATATCTCCGCAGCTCATCCATCACATTTTATAAATGAAAAAAAAAAGACCCTTTATGATCTGGTTCGTTTTTCAAAAAATAAATACGTTTAAATATTCTTTTTTTTTTTCGTACGGACACTATTGAGTAAGGCAGGAATCCATTTCTAGCCACCCCTAGCAGTGAGTTATATATCAGGGTAGACTGTGTTGTCTAATTTTATGCGTCAGACAACCTAACGGGTGAAAACTATAGAGAAAGCAATGGAAAACAACTTGAAATTATTTCCTAAAAAGTAATAGCAACTAACAAATAATAAAGGATAATACAATCTGTAGCGAATGAAGATTATTATGTTTTGAAAGAGCATGGCATCTAAAATTAAAAGTGTGTATTCGAGAGACCCCAAACTGACTGAAAAATCGTCTTTTCACTGAAAACAGAGTTTCTTAATTATGTGCTCTATCTCTTCAGGAGGAAAGCGATCATAGCTCTCCAGAATTTCATGTCTTTCGTAGCACTTAATATTTTTTTCTTTTTATTTCTCCTAAACCTTGTTCCGCCATCCATTTACTCAAACTCCGCTAGGTGGGTTATGCATTGTTTTCCTCTGTCCCTCTTGCCTTCAATCTGTCCTGTGAGTATCAGATTTTCCAAACCTTCTTTACTTATTAAGTGCCCTAGAAATTTTAAAAGTTTCTATCTGGTTTTTAATGGATTTTTTTCTTCTATTTTCTTTAAAACTGCATCGTAGCTCACATGTTTGGTCTGTGGTATCCTCATCAACCTACTATAGAACCACATTTCTGCTGCTTCAAGTCTCTTCTTCATCTGTGAAGAGATTGCCCAACATTCGCTGATAGATAGGAAGAATATTACACAACAGTTCAGTACTCTTTTCTTTGTTTCTGTTGCTGCAAGTCTTTTTCATCTGATTGTCCAGCATTCACTTCCTTATATGAGAACTGGTTTTTGCAACAGTTCAGTACTCTTTACGTTGTTTCTGTTGCTTCAAGTCTCTTTTTCATCTGTGAGAAAAATTGTACAGCATTCACTTTCATATAGGAGAACTGATATTACGTAACAGTTTAGTACTGTTTTCTTTGTTTCTGTTACTTCAAGTCTCTTCTTTATCTTTGAGGTGATTGTCCCACATTCACTGCCATATAGTAAATATGATATTACATAACAGTTCAGTACTCTTTTATTTTTCTATTTCATAATACTTTGCTTAGATTTAGAAGACATCTTTTGCTATCTCAATGTATCTTCAGTTCCGTATTCATTTCATTTTTTTTTTCTAATGACATTTTTCTGTTTCTTAATATTTTGCTTCGCTTTTAGAAGGCATCTTTGACTCTTTTAATGCGGCTTTGAATTTCAGTGTCCCACTTTCCGCCACTAAAGAAACATAAATGTGTTTTTTTTTTGTGTTTTCAACACCGCATAATGAAATATGCATATATTAACGGGCTAAACAGCCAATATAAATAAAGACCAGCCTCATCACTCCAACATATATTTGTTCGAATAATCTAAACATCGATAAATCGATTTTGTCTCTGCTTCTTTGCAATTTTATCGATCTGTAAAACGTTTGCTTCGCTCCGAGCGGAGCCCTTTGTATGACTTTGTTATGAAAGTAAGAACAACTCGTGCAACAACAATAACAAATAGAAGATCACGACGTCGGAGAGGGTTGATGAATCAACATTGATTGGAACGGACGATCACCCCGACCACTTCCAAGATTCCGAAAGCTACGCTATCCCACACTCCCAAATATGCGGTTTTCCTGCTGCACCATCAGCATCAACTCACCCACGTCTTCTCAGCTGCTCCGCTCCGCCTGCTCATTTATCTCATGTTGTAGTTAATATTGTTATTTCTTCTTCTTCTTCTTCTTCTTCTTCTTCTTCTTCTTCTTCTTCTTCTTCTTCTTTTCATCTTACTCATAATCGGTTCTGTTTTTTTATTCGTTTTCTTTTCTTCATTAATGGTTATGTTTCTTATAAGTCATTGTTTTTTTCTTTTTCATCGTCTTTGCCGTTTTTTTTCTTCTGCTCCAGTATTGTCACTTTGTTGTCTTCCAATATTCTCTCTTTATCGTCATTTGCTCTCTTTCCTTGTCTGTTTTTCTTTCTTTTTTTTTGTCAGCATTTCATTCTTCATTTCTTCTTCTTCTTCTTCTTCTTCTTCTTCTTCTTCTTCTTCTTCTTCTTCATCATCATCATCATCATCCTCTTCTCTTTTCTTCATCTTTTTTTATTTTTTTCCTTTTCTTTTCACCGACTTTTCTTCTGCTTTTTTCTTTTGTCAATGTCACTATTTCATTGTCTTTTTTTTTTCCTTTGAACTGGAAAACTAATATCTGATCGCGGCCAGAAATACCCGCCTATCTCAACCACAAAAAAAAAAAACCCTTTCTTTCTTCTTTACGTACTTGCTCTATTTATCTTTCGTCTATCATCACCACTATAATCATCATCATCAAATTATCATTATTATTATTATTATTATTATTATTATTATTATTCACTTCTATGTTCACATAGCATGCCTGTTGTTTGTCGCTGTAGATTAACTGACAGTACTTCTGCTCAAATCTCCAGCAGTTTCCTCAGTATTTTGGCAGAACCTACCATCACCAAAGTCTGGACAGTTCAAAAAATATTCTATCATTCTCCAGTTCCTCTACTCTTATCTCTGATGCATTTGGCACCGTTCCAAGTTCCAAGGTATCTTCAGTTCCCTAGGGAACGGCTATTATTTTTTCTTCAAGTTTAGCTCTTATGGTACAGCTATCACTACGATCTTTCAGACTTCATTTGTTCACAACGCTCAGATTCGGCATTCTTGCTTGGATAGAGGGAAAAATTTAGATTTCAAAGTCGCAGAATTTTCGAGTTTTTTTTTCCTTACGATTTCATCCGATTTATTACAATAAGTATTCTTTATTTCTCTTCATTTGCCGATTGATACAAGCATTTACCAAAGCTTTTACATAGACCTAAGGTAAATGAAGTGTTTTCTTAGAAAGCTCTTGAGCATATTGGATTAAAAGAGTTTATTTATTTCTTAACAGCACTGTTTTGAATGTGTCTCCCCTTGTTTTGTTACTTTCCTCTTTGAGAGAGCTATTTCTGTTTACTGGGACTATAAAAGGACACTATACGTAAACCTTGTATTCACAGTTGAATAAAGCTTTCTTAAAGCCTACGCCTGCGGACTTTTGTCATTACAAGCAATTTATTTGTTTCTGGTAAAGCTGAATTTCCTAGGATTTTCTTTATGATATACTGGCTGTAAAAGCAAAATTGTCCATACGTTTAAGCTTTGAATCATTACATCTTAGAAATTATTAAAGATATCTTACTGGAATTCTCTAAGGTTTTATAACACTACTGGACTTTGAGCAATAAAAATGTATAATTACTCTCCAAGCTTAACAAAGTTAGCGTGATGAAATCAAAAATGACATATTCATCATTAATTAATAATACCTTACTCTCTCTCTTTCTCCCTCTCTCATTCTGTACACACACACACACACACACACACACATATATA